AAAGAAGCTATGTCTGGATGTGAACACAAAACGCCTGGAAGAAAATTTTGTATCCACAGAGACTGGTGGACCAATTGGAATTTCTGCTCTGTGGAAAGATTGGAGTTTTGTAGGTTCAGAGACTAATTAGTTTACGTTGGGCTAATTTTAGCCTCCTGCAACAGCCATTCCTTGCTCCACTCTGTATCTGAACCCAGTGATAATAAATAAAGACCCCCGAGAAGCTATTAACTCTGGAGAACATGAGATTTCACCAATCGGAGAGCTGAGATTGTTGTCATCAGATAACAGTTTAGCACTATAGCAAAGCCTTGCCCATCTCAGTGTATCTGCTGAACTCACCAATGCATTTTATACTTGCCTGGATTTATGGCTTTCTTGGTTTTCTAAAACTCGAAAAACTTGATGAAACTGCTTCCATGTTGGAACTTGGGATTTGGGTAACTGAAGTCTGTGTTCCTGGGCCCTAGAAATGGCTCCAGGATAAACCTCTCTTTACCTGTAAGATGAGAGCTGTGTTTTTATGACACAAGCAGCTCAGCTTGATGTGTCCTTATAGACCCCACTCATTGTGTTTTGTCCCAGCCCCCACCTCAGCAGGCATGCCCTGCTAGCCCAAGGGCAGCTCCTGCCTGGAAACTGAGTGGTCTGACTGAGGATCCACACCTCTCCTCCTCCAGATCCACTCTCAGTCTCATCCCCAGCCCTGTAGCAGAAAACCTGCTGCCTTCTCCTTTCCCTCTGTCCTCATCCCCAACAGATCACAAAGATCTTCTCCCCAAAACTCCCTTTCCAAGACTCATCCTCTTATCCCAGCCCCAACACCAGCAGGCATTCCCTGTGAACACTCCAGCCTAGTAAGCCAGGGAAACAGGAAAGCCCACTGAAAACCTCCCCCATGCCCTCTTCCCACCCCAATCCAATCCCTCAGTCTCATCCCTATCTCTGTAGCACAGCCCAGCTGCAGCCTCCCTTGCAAGTCCCACCTCCCAGGCTACATTTCCCATGGATCCCGCAGAGCAGCCCCTCCCAACTTCCCTTGAGCCACTCCTGGCTTTACTCCAGCCCCTCCCCCAGCTGGTGATCCTGCTAACCCACAGACCTCACAGGCCAGAGACCTTCTCTTCTCCCTCTGCTCTCCCAGCTCCAATCTCCAGTCTCATCCTCAGCTCTGCAGCAGGAACAACTGCGCAGCCTTCCCTGCACTCCGGTTCCCATCTCCTGTGGACCCCACAGATCTTCCCTTTCTAACCCTTCGGCCTTAAACTTGTAGCCTTGTCCCAGCTCATTCTTTGCTTATGACTGAAACACACTCGCTTCCTACCAGGAGCGATTCCAAGTATTGTGGAAAGATGATTTCCAAGGTTGACTCTTTGTCAAACTGAGTTTCAGACGAGTAAGTCTGATTAGGGAAGGAAGCATGCCCACACATGAATAGGGGTTAT